ACATATTTTATTTGATTTTATATTTTATTTTATGGGCTTCATTTGACAGGCTCCATGCTGCTTTTCTGACAGTTTGAACCTCTCCTATTTTTACATGGTTTCATATTATATATTTTTATCAAGCTGAGTTAAGTTGGCGGCACTGATTATGTCTCATGTTTTTTCAGGAAAAAAAGAACGGCGTGTCAGAATTCACCCCTGAAAACCTGGTGGCGTCCGTACTCGATTTGTTTGCAGCTGGAACAGAAACAACCAGCACGACCATCAGATACGGGCTCCTGATTCTCCAGAAATACCCGGAGGTAGAAGGTAAAACAGGCCCTTCAACTACCTGCCGGCATCTCAACTCCGTTCCCTCCCCTCGGTGGTTTCCCCTTTCAGGTTCTCTGTGTCTCATCACAGCCCCATGGAATTCCTGCTTTGCTCCCTGGGTGATTCCAGGCTGAACTGTAGGGCAGGATTTTGGGTGATCATGGAAATTAGTATAGGTGCCAGTGGGTAAAGAAGGATAGTAAAAACGCAAGCCAAACCAGGAAGGATCCACCAGAACCACCACCAGAAAAACAGGTGGGAACCTGGAAACTGTTGTGTTTCAGGCAAAAGGCTTTCTTCAGGGAAGCTTAATATTCAGAAACACTCATCCGGAATATTTGGAGGGCGCCTTGCTTCTAGGATTCAAACGCAGAGTGCAAATATATATACACCATGTGCACTCGAGTATAAGCCTAGTTTTTAGCACAATTTTTTTTTGCTGAAAAAGGATTCCATCGGCTGATAGTCGAGTCAGTGTCAGAATGACATGTTCTCCTCTGCGGTGTGGGTGTTCTGCAGACTCCTCCGCTCATATACGGGCACCTGCAGCTTTGAAAATAGCTCTGCTTCTAGGATTCAAAAGCAGAGTGAATGTATCTGTTTTCCCCTTCAATAAAAATAGGCACCCAACTCTTCTGAAGAATGCCTGTCACCTGGAATAAGTTGTTGGGCCATGAAGAAATAATGGCCTGCATCTCAGGGTAAACCTTCTTTGTAGGGGTGATGGGGGAATAGAGCTGGAGAAAGGAGACTCATCAGAAGAAAAAAGTCACATAGAAGAGGCCAAGCCACCCAATCCATCATCCAGCCTGTAGGTCAATTGGCCGCCGGGTCAACCCTCCTGACCAGATTCCAGGGCTTCTGTGGCACATCAGGGAATTGGTGCTGACCTTTTCTCATCCCTTTCCAGAGAAAGTGCATGAAGAGATTGACCGCGTGGTCGGCCGAGGCAGGGCGCCATGCATAGCTGACCGTGGGCAGATGCCTTACACGGAAGCTGTCATCCACGAAATCCAGAGGTTCATCTCTCTCGTCCCACTGAGTGCCCCCCACTTAGTCGTCAAAGACACCCCCTTCCGACAATACATCATCCCAAAGGTACCGGCTCTGCTTCTACTGCTTCTGTACTGCTAAGGCGACGGATGCAGCCCAGGGATACATGGATCTCGGCTGGGCTGAGAAGGGTCTTATCTCAGAGTTGGCACAAGCCTAAGGGCCGTGCTGCCGAAGGGGAGGGGGCAGCTGAAGAGAGAGGAACGGGGCTATAAAAGTTGACGTGCATTTCTGTTGCCCTCCTGGCTTCCATTGTAGCAGTTGCTACTTTGGGGTTTTCTGTCATTGACAGGTCAGTTTTTTTAAAAAAGAGGGTGTTTTTAACTGGAAATGTTCCCTTATGCCCTCTAGTGACCAAAAGTATCTTTAAATGTTTTTTTAATCTCTCTTTTTTCTCTCCTTCAATATGGGGCGTGATGTTCATGGTCCCCTAAAGGGTCGTTGGGCATTCGGCCAGAGAGTTCAACCGGCACTTATCTACCACCTTTGCGCTGGATCGAGTCCTTAGACCTCAGCAGTGCATAGCATAAGCCCTTTGAACATGTCTGACCTAAAAAGAACTCTTTGCACTTACTCAGTACTTAGCAAGTACAGGCACATGTGTTTTGTGATTCCTTAGAACTCCCAAAAGCTCAGTTAGGTAAGACTCTTAAATGATAGCTAGTTTGTGGCCCTTCTCCACTCCTGGATTTAGCCAGACCCTGCTGTTCAAGAGACCAGACCTCAATAAGGAATTTTAATATGTCTGACCTAAAAAGAACTCTTTGCACTTACTCAGTACTTAGCAAGTACAGGCACATGTGTTTTGTGATTCCTTAGAACTCCCAAAAGCTCAGTTAGGTAAGACTCTTAAATGATAGCTAGTTTGTGGCCCTTCTCCACTCCTGGATTTAGCCAGACCCTGCTGTTCAAGAGACCAGACCTCAATAAGGAATTTTAATAATTAATTTTTTATTAGAAAAATACACTTTCATTAGAAAATCAGTTTATATTGCATAAGCATTAGCGTTAAGAACATATTCAGAGATCATTGCAGTTAAATAAGATAAATATTTCCCATTTAAAATAATCAACTACTAAGATGAAACTAAGGTGGGCTATGTTGGGCTAGAGTGGGTTAGCCCCCACCTCTCTCTTTCTCCTTTACTTACATCCTCTCTCCTTCAAGCTACATGCGCATAATATTATCAAGGAATGAAACCCAGAACAAAATAGAATCCATTTCCTTCAGTCAAATCAAGTAAAAAGTTACATTGACATAACCCATCTTCCATCTTCTATCCTCCTAACTCCTCCCTTCTTCTTCTTTTTTTGAATTCAAACATACGAAAAACAGAAATAGAAAAAGGAAAAAGAGAATAATTTAAAAAATCTAAACTAAACCCTCTACTAAGCTCAACCCTCCCCCCTTTGGAGTCAGAGACTCCAGCCTCGTTAAACCCTCCGCTCTCCCCCGGTTTGGTTTCCAGTGTATACTAAGTAGATATACATATATGATAAAATTTGCCCTAGACTCCTGTCTTCTTCTGGGCCCAGGAGTATATTAGTTCCCAGCTTTGTTTTACATAGTCTCTTGGCTGTTCCCGTAGTGCTTCTGATAGAGTGTCCAGTTCTGCTAAATCCCGTAACTTCTTTGACAACTCTTCTATTGTCGGAATCTCTTTGCTTTTCCATTTTTAGGCCCAGAGTAATCTAGCTGCTGTGAGTATATACATAAGACAATGCTTCAATCTTTTTATCATTAATTCCTGGTATGACATTCAATAATGCCATTTCAGGTTTTATATCTAATTTCTGCTGGGTAATTACTTTTACTAATTCCCACACCTGTGTCCAGTAATGTTTGACTTTTCCGCATGTCCACCACATATGATAATAAGTTCCTGCATTTTTTTACACTTCCAACATGTATTGCTGTTACCCTCTGACATTTTTGCTAGTCTTACAGGTGTATAATGCCATCTGTAAAACATTTTGAGGATATTTCCTCTGAGATTTGCTGGTTTAATCATTTTATAGCTTTCTTTCCACATCTTAGTCCAATCATCGTTATATCCATTTTTTTGCCCATTTTACCATTGTCTCTTTCACCTTCTCATCCTCTAAGTCATATCCTAATAAGTATATGTACATTTTCTTAATTATTCTTTCATCCGTATATATCTGCAGTCTATCCACCTGGACTTTGCCCTCAAAGAAACCCACTGTCCTATCTTTTTTGTATCTTGATTCTAATTTTACCATTGACCACCAATCAACAGCTACATCCATTTTTTTCAAGCTCTTGTTTGTCCTTTATCTTCTGCTCTTTAGTTAACAGATTTTCATATGTGGTCAACATTCCTTTCTGGTTCAGGGCTTTTAATGTAAATGCTTCTGTAGGTGCCACCCACAATGAGATTTTCTCGTAGGTTTGTGCTTGAAATATTTGCCATACTATCCCTAGGGCCTTCCTAATGATATGTTCTCCAAACTGTGAGTGTTCCTTATGTCTCCCATACCATACATATGCATGCCATCCCATCTTTAAATCATGTCCCTTTAGTTTCATAAATCTTTGATTTTCTAAGGTTATCCATCCTTTAATCCAGGTCATTGCACAGGCCTTATAATATACTAGCCAATTCAACAGCCCCCCCTCCTTTCTTTCAGATCTTGTAGCAGTTTTTATTCTTGGCTTCTTAGGTTTCCAGAGAAAATTTGATGTTAGTCCATCCAAATCCTTAAAATATTTAAAGTTCAGTATATTGGGAGATTTTGAAATAGGAATAGGAATTTGGGTAAGATCATCATTTTTATTGTTGATATTCTTCCCATTAATGAGAGTTGTAGTTTGTTCCGTTCCTCCAGATTTTTCTGAATTTCTTTCTGTATTGCTAAGTAGTTTTCTTTCATTAAATTGCTTGGTTTTTTGGTAATAACCACCCCTAAATATTTAATTTTTTTCACTGCCTCAGAATTGGAATTCTCTGCTAATTTTTCGAGATCTTCCTTCTTTATGTTTTTTGTCATAAATTTTGTTTTTTTGATAGTTTACTTTAAATCCGGCCACCTGTCCAAATTCTTCTATAACTTCCAATAACCCTCCAATATTTTTCAAAAGATTTTCTAGTATTATCGCTAAATTGTCCACGTACGCTTGTAGCTTAAATTCTTCTCCTCTAATTTTGACTCCTTTGATTGCTTCGTTGTCCCTGATCTGTCTGTTAAGTATTTCCAATATTAAAATAAATAATAGGGGGGATAGTGGGCAGCCCTGTCTTGTTCCTTGTTCAATCTGTATATTCCCAGTTAGATTACCATTAACTTTTATCTTGGCTACTTGCTTAGTATATATTGCCTTAATTGTTTGTAGATATGTTCCTTGGAAGCCCATTCTTTTCAGTGATGATAGTATAAACTCCCAATTTACATTATCAAAGGCTTTTTCTGCATCAAGGAAGATTAGCATCATCTGCTTTTCGGGATGCATTTCATAGTATTCCAATATGTCTATTATTATCCTTATATTTGATGATAATTTCCTTTTAGATAAAACGCCTGTTTGGTCTTTATGTATTATTATTTCAAGTATCTCCTTTAATCTTGTGGGTAGGATGGTTGTGAAGATCTTACAATCAACATTTAGGAGAGAAATCGGTCTGTAATTCTTAGTTAGTCTTTTATCTGTGCCTTCTTTATGTATTAGAGAGATGTATGCTTCTTTCCATGAATTAGGAATTTCCCCTTTAGTCTGTATATCTTCAATTAGTTTCTTGAATTGTGGACTTAAGATTTCTTCAAATGTCTTATAATATTCTGCTGGTAGTCCATCTGGGCCAGGAGATTTGCCGCTTTTTTGTTTCTTCCATGCTTCTCCGATCTCTTCCATTGTGATTGGTTTGGTCAATTTCTCCAGGGGTTGATGATTCAACCTCCATTCTGGAATATTGTTCCAATAATTTTTTGTCTCTCTTCTTCTCCTTCTCTTTTCTTATATAGTTCAGTGAAGAATTCATGAATCTCCTTTTCAATCTCCTTTTGTTTATATACTTCCTTCCCTTGCTTATCAAATATTGCTGTAATCATCGTTTTCTCTCTCTCTCCCTTTTATTCTATATGCTAACCAATGAGAACCACAGCCAGGGGAAAGAGAGAGAGAGAGAGCAAGAGAAGGAAGGAAGGGAGGGAAGGAGGGGGAGGGAGGGGGAGACATGTTTAGGGAACCTGAGAGGAAGGGCAGGATGAGGCCAGTCCAGTGCGTGGGGGGGAGGAGCTGTCTTTGGGTCAAAATGGATAAAGGAACTGATCCTCAGGAATCTGCCCCAAAACACGGTCAAATCAAAAGCCCCATTTGTACCCACAGAGTTACACCACAGAAGTGATGGGACACCTGACTGATTTTAACGTGGGATCCCCACCCACAACAGTCACCATCTCTGCCAACAGACTGGACAATGAAATGGTTTTAAAAGCCAGTCTGGACCCCTCAACCGTGATACAACTCAGTTTTAAAATGTATTAAATGTTTTCTGAAGAGGACGTAACTGCTTAACCATTCTCTGAAGCCGATGCAGAGAGTGATTCATATACCATGAGACTGTGACATCACTTTAGATTGCAGCCAAAAAATAATAGTAAATTCCTATGTATATTCCGAGGTTAATCAGTCATGTAGGTAAGCCCTTATCTTTAAAGTACCCTCAGGGTCACTAGAAGTCACTTCTGACTTGACAGCACATAACAATGACAAGAAGATTATTTCAGAAAAGTTTTATGATAACAAAACATAAAGGTATTCGCGAAGGCTTTCACGGCCGGGATCTAATGGTTGTTGTGGGTTTTTCGGGCTTCTTGGCCGTGTTCTGAAAGTGGTTCTTCCTAACGTTTCGCCAGTCTCTGTGGCCGGCATCTTCAGAGGACAGCAAACTGTGCTCTGGGAGGCTGAGAGTGCCA